TGGCCAAGTAGCAAAGCCAAAGTCTTGATTAGGTCTTTAAAGCCCTCCTTTCATTATTCCCTAAGCGTGACAGCAATCTGCCTGCAGGCCCTTGTCAAATTTCACTACTGGTCATGACATCTTGCCAAATGACCCCAACAAATCTCAGCTAGGTAGTCACACTCTGCGCTACGGCTAAGTGAGATTGTTGCGTGCCGTTAAACCGTTTCCCTGTTGTACCTCAGAACTAGCTTCACTGATACATTTCAGAAGAGTAAGGCTTTTTCCGTACATATATATATCTTCTGTGAGACTGAAAGTGCACCGATATTTGCTTTGTTATCTAACGAGAGGTGAACAGCAGCACGTGGAGAAGGGAAGCTACTTCAGAGCAGTGCTCACTGTGCTGGGGACCAAGAGTCCCATCACCACCATCACAACAGCAGGGTTTGCAGCACGAGAGGCCAGGGAACACCCAGCACAAGTGCCATTTTTCTTCTGACAAAGTCCAAATAAAAAGAGCAGACAGACGAGTGGGATTTGTTTGTGCTGCTCAAAGCAGCATTAACTTTCCCTCTGTGTTCAGTGACCCCATCAGATGGGTCATGGTGCACAGATGTTGGCATACAGCCCTTGCCTGCAGAGCCACCAGGAGCCATGCAAGAGACCAGAAAGGAGACCACAGGGTGAATCTCTCTCCTCCCTTCCCTCCCTCCCTCAGATCTCACATGTCAGATGTCCCAGTCCATCCAAGTCCACTCATTTTTGTGCCTCTCCTAACCCTCTCTCCCTTTGAAAGGCTCCGTCTTCCCTTCCACAGCCTTTTCTTCACCACGTTTGTATACAGAAGACCACTCTACTATTCATAAAGCACTAGATGAATGGTGTTATATAACTGCTAGTTACTGTTTCATCATTTTTTAGAATGATGGAGAAGTAAAATGGCAATGTAGACTCCCCTTGGGGCCAGTTTAAGCAAACTGAACTTAAAGTTACTGGTGACCCAAAATAATATTCGCTTCAGCATCCCCAAAATGGAAGAATGGAAGGGTAATGCATTTCAATACATGCTGTCCCGCATAAAATGACAAGCCATTAATAACTATGGCATATAGGCATGCGTGAGAAATCTTCCATGATGTAGCTCCTAGTCAAAACAGTTTACAAAAAAGTGTGTGTTTTTGGTTTTGTTTTGGTTTTGTTTTGTTTTGTTTTTTAACATTTGCAATGATTTGCTATTCATTAAGCTCTGCTATCTTGTGGCTTTTGCTATTCCAAAGAGGTTTTATTCAGCTTGCTATTCATTCCAGGTCAGCTAACATAAAATCAATAATGGTTTGGACAGATTTCCTTGTAATGAGCCTAGAATTGGCATACATAGCCTAAACTCTCTTCCTGTTTCACATGTACAGGAGCTTTCTCAGAGTGATCTGGTTCTCTCTTTCTCTCATAACGGATGGCTCTAAGGTTTCAGCAGGGTATGTAGTCCA